GGGGGGGGGGGGGGGGGCGACATATAGACAACATTGTAGAAGGGGTCTGAGGACAAGGGAGAAGAAAGGAAAAGAAGGAATATGCAAAAAAGGATACAGAGCGGCCTCTCGGGGTAAAGAAAGAAGTTGGTTGGGGCAGGCATTAGGGCAACTACCTACTTCATTCAATATTGATCTGTTATGCTTCAGAAATCCTGCAAGACCATCTTCATCTCTCACAAACACACACACACACATACACATCAAACACTCACTCTCTTTCCTTTTCTTTCTTACATGCATCCATCACAAGTGGTCCCACAGCTCCTTTGTGAATAGATATGGCAAAACATTGCACAAACAAAAACTGATATTTATAGACAGTAAAGTGACTATTCTCCATGATATACAGACAGAACTGCACACGCTGCAAAATATGACTACTTGAAATGAACAACATGCACGTTAAGCAAATCATTCTGAACGAAAGGTAAATATTTCAGTATTGTATTTTACACTGTTGTTAACAGTGATTTAAACACACAATGCAATATGTAACAAAATTCTCTACAAAAAAGGGGGACAATAAGATCAATAAAGAATATAGAAAAAGTCTGTTCAGTCAAGCCAGGAAGTAATGTTGAGAAGCCAGAATAGGATAGGTTTGGCCACAGAATTCTGAACAAGCAACAGACAACAGGAGATACACACAAAGCTCATTACAGAATAGATTACCTTACTATAAGATGGGGTCATTTAAAACTTCCATTCCTCTGTACCCAGAGCTAGATTTTCTGAACAAACTTGTTTATCAAAAACACCTTCAAAAGTGACACTGAGGTATTTGGCAAGTAGTTTGAAATGGGAGGACACATGACCCACACCCTGTCTGCTCATGTTATTGTGCTAAAGTGGCAGCGTTCCAGAGAGGGAGTTCAACAGGACTTAAAATGTATTCCGGTAATCTTCTGTTTTTGATCTCTTCAAGAATGTTTAACAAACTTTAACCACTATTACTATTTACTACTCATTAGTCAAATATTGCCTAATTGGCACCAGAATGAATAAGGTAATTTAATTAGGAAATGCAAGCCACTAGAGTACAAAACCATTTCATGGATTTAATGTTAGTTTCCCTTAGTCTGACCGTACACTGTTGCTTCTTCTTACTCCATAAACATAACTAATGTTTCCTTGAAAGGCTACTATAATTATTTCATTAGAACAGGAGACATTCTCTTTGTCTGAATGGGCCGACGGATGACAAATGTTGTCTGGCTGCACAGTGAGATATCAACGATATACACACATAGGCAGGTCTCCACAAGCAGCTGTCAGCTTTCCTAAAACATGGGGCACATTGGGCCAGCTCTGACTTCTTATTGCAGGCTGGCAAGGTATGTGATCTAGAGTCTAGACCACACAAATTGCTTTGCTTCTATTAGAAAAGAGTCACATAAACTGTTCTAATGTGCCATAGACTGGGAGAGGGTCCAAATGTATTGATTTTGTAAGGGCATACGTTGTATGTGCAATAGCTTAGGCGGCGTGCATTGTTTGTGTGTGTGCATACTCTAGGTAAGTTTCAGTGGTGTGGCACAATGTTGGTGAACAGTGACAAGCCCAACACACACTATTACTACACTATAACTGGTAAAAGAGTCGAGACCACACAAGGCTGTGTACCATTCTTGTCACCTCCCGCATCGACTACTGCAGAAAAACTTCCCTTCTCTTTTGGTTTACCTCACAAATCCTCCATAAAACTTCAAAACTGGTCAGAACTCTGCAGCTTGGATTTGATCACCAGGGGAAACCCCCCTCCATTCCACCACATGCACCCCTGTTCTGGCAGGCAACTGCCACTGGGCTTCCGTCAAACTCCGCAAATCGACTTCAAGAATCCTCCTGTTTAAACGGTTTTCAAGGGCCATTGCTGAACCTTTCCCCCCTTATATACTGTCCGAAAACGTTTCCTCACATCGCCACCCCCTTCCCGTTCCCTTCAAGATCTGTTCTCCTCTGTCACCCTTCTCTGTCCTCCTCCCGCCCGCTCTTTTCCCAATGGGGGAGCAGGGCTTTCAGCCGCTCTGCCCCCCGCTCTGGAAACTCAATTTCCCACCGGGACATCAGAAAACGTGGGACTCTCTTCCCCCCTCTTAATCAAGACTAACACTCCACCTATCAGAAACGGGCATACCCAACTTAACCTCTACATATGGTTCTTTTTTCTGTCTATTTCTATACTGTTATTATTTTTTGTGTTGTACGGTGTTCCTCGAGTGCCCAGAGAGGCGCCTGTAAATAAAATGTATTATGTATTATTATTAGTGCAGTATTCAAATCATGGCCGCTTAGTGTTCACTGTTGGATCTCTCTGATCACTTACTGTCTCAATGGTTAACGCTAAAGATTCAAAATTGGACAGAAGCCTAGAATTCCGTGTAGTACTTCCCTGTTGTACTGATCAATTGACCCCTGTACTGTAAATACATTTCTTCTGATAAACAGACCTGACTACCTGTTTTAAAGGTGCATTACTAAAATATCTTGGCAGGAACATGTTGAAAGCTGGCTTCAGTCTTCAGGATGGCCCTTGCATCAACTCAACCTTTCTTATCACACAAAATATTTTATAGAACGTTTATAGAATATTTTCTTTTTATATTTTATGTTTTCTCCAAGCCTTTTCAACATCATAGCTCCTATTTGAGCTTAAGATGCAAGTAAACACAAATGACTTGAGGTCTTTTGATCTACAGTTTGCCTTAAAAGAAAAATTACTGCAGTGATCAGTTTCCACTGCTGCACTAGACCAAAAATAAAATCACCGCTTCCTAACAGCTTTCACTATCACGGTGTGTATGAGTGTGTTATGTGTGTGTGTTCCTCCCACGTCTCTCACTTGACCGGGCGATCAAATTAACCTTTCAGTGCTTTCTTCTCTGTTTTGTATAAACACCCAGAGGACAACATTTGATTTATGTGGACAGTGCGAAATACTGAAAGACTAGAGCTAGGTGATTGCATTCTTTTGCCTTCCCTATACTCTCAGCAGGCAGGTTGGCCCATTTGTTCTGACGAAGGTGAGGGAGGACAGAGCTCTAAAATGTGTCCTCAACAATCTTAATAGCACCCCAGACACATTTAAAAGACAAACTAAGGAGCAACTTATCACCTGTAACTGGGCCGAATGGAACCAGCAGTCAGCTTTCTTTCTTCACTGAATAATGATGGGCACTGAGAGGGAGAGGCATGTGTGATCCACTGAAGACAGGATACACTAGCTCTGAATTAAGTTTAAATTTATATATGCGACTGAGTGAAAAAAAGTGCAGTGTCTAAATTATAGATGCTCTATAAGTGATTTGATAACTTAAAACCTACATGTACCACTGTCTCTTGAACTATATTTGTTTGCTACTGCTTTCAAATAATAGATGTCTCATTTTGGAACAAGCCCTTTTCATTTTTCTTGTGTGATGTGTAAGGTGTTTAATGCTTCTAGTTGAAAGCCTTACTTGTGGGGACCCATCAGATCCCTGGTCCTTGGTTTTTCTAGCAAGCCTTTTCTTCTTCTTGTGAAGTGGTTTGGACTCCAGGATCATTTCCTCCAGCTCAAATGTGGGGTCACAGTTTAGTCTCCGCCTCTGTGGAGACGCAGACACATGCAAGGGCACATTTAAAAGGACAAACAACAGATCCATGTCTTCAAATATTGAATCCTATTAATATTTAAGTCAACACTTAAAAATATTTATCCTGTAAGATTGTCATGGTTTTATTTTTGGCAACCCTTTTAGAAACAAGTAGTGTTATAGTGTTTCTGACATTTGATTCCCATAAATGAATAGGCTGTGATTAAATTTGATGTGTCATATGATACAGTATAATATTATACGATGTGATACAATACAGAATGATGACGCTTTTATTCTAAAAGCAGACTGAATATTGGGAACTTAGGAAACGAAGCATGAGGGCTGAGTTTTCCCTGAGTCTATAAGCCAGTAAAGACAGAGGATAGGCCTATAATTAGATAGAGAGACACTGTCAATTCCCCATCGATCCTCTGTGTTTTTCCTCTGCTGCGCCAGCCTGACCACTGGGGATACTCACAGCTCTGCAGTCGCTATAGACTTAGAATTAGATAAAGTCATTTAGTCATCTGTTCACTTTTAACAGTCATTATTCTGCATGTATTCAATTCTGACACTAAGCACTGACAGTTATTGTCACCTTGCTGCTTCACTAAAATAATACAGGATAGTTTTTGTATTGCTTGATCATTGATTTAAGCAAAAATGCCAAAAACCATAGCTGTAGTCTCTAAATTGTGAGAATGTGCTGTTTTTCTTTGTCTGATATGATAGTAAACGGAGTGTCTTTGGGTTTTGGACTGTAAAACATTTGAGGTTTTATAATGGAAATGAATCGATTACTCAAGAAAGTAATTGGCAGATTAATCAGTTATAAGTAGAAACGTTAGTTGCACCACTAATTAATATGTCTATGTATGTGAATGAGTCATATCTGTGCCCATAAGAGCAGAAAAAAAGATTGGCTGTTTTGTTATAGTATTTTCAATGGAGTTATAGGTGCAGTTTGAGTATACTCCAGTGACAACGATTGTCAAATATTATTTTGTTAACACTTTATTTGGATAGTCTGCCTACATTATACTGCCACATTATATAATATGTATATATAGTATTTGAATAAAGTGGAACCATTATTTGTATTATTGTTTACAATAATTACATTGTTAGGAAGGATGTTAGGTGGGTCTTTTCTCCTGTACAGTTAAATACAACACAGTACAATAAATCAGTGCAGCTACTGCAAAAGCCTGACACTACAGACGGAGCACAGCACATCAGTTTCCTAACCAAGCAGCTTGACTTCCTGCCTAGTGATATTATTACACGCAAGAACTAGGATTGGGCGACGGATGAATATATCGGCTATCTGCGATTGGCTAAATGCATTGCTGGTTGTTTTTTTGGGGGGGCTATTTTTTGAGTGATTTTTGTGATTTTAGTTTGCTAATTTAATGGTCTACCTCAGTGGCACATTTCACACACTGAGCCAAAGAACTAACGAGAGGAAGAATAGTAGAGCCAGAATATTTTCACTGTGGTGAATTACCGCAGTAGTGTATCGCTGTTAGACAGTTAGGACACCAGAGTTGGTGATTGTTTGAACTGTGTAAAGACTAATAGACTAATACTAATTAACTACTAATAAAGATTTAATATTTTGTTTCTGTCGAGTTCAAATTAAGTTTGTTTTAAGATCGCTTAGTTTAGATGTTGAATGTACGGTTGTATTCTCTGTTTAATGCAGAAAATAGGTGTTTTTCCTTTCTTGACACTTGGTGAGTTCACTTTCTTTATTAAAGCTATGAGAGCTTCTTGAACTCAGTACTGGGTTGGTGATTAGGGCTGTTGGTGGGCGCTCGCGTAATCTGCAATTGTTGGACTGTCGGTGGCCATTGGAAAAGTTTTAATGTATGGCCCAACCCTAGCAAGCACTATCTTCACCCAACTCATCATAGACCACCTGTAGAGCTGCAGGTATATGCAGAGGATTTCTCTGCCTTTGTCTGTATATAAGAGGCATCCACACACGTCTCCTGCTTTGTCTTTTTCAGTCTACACTCAGTGGGAGATCCAGCTCAGCCCAGCAGGGGGTGGTCTCTACAGCTCGACTAGAAAAAATTAGATGAAGAGTGGATAGGTCTGGCTACATCGTTTTTTTCCTTGCATCTTTTGTCGCCTTCGGGGAAATAGTGGTTTGGGAATAGGCATGAGAGAACAGTAGACGGGAGGAGGGGTTTTAGGAATAGACGGGTTTTTTGTATTCTGAATTGTAAAAAAATAAGAAAAAATGTAAAATATATATTAAGGCATCTACAGATGGCATATTCACCACATGGCATTTGTTTATTTTTGCCACTGGCTTTCATTCTCTTCTTAAAGCAATGGACAGTTCTATATTTTTTGTCATTTTTCAGGGAGGTGATTGGAGAAAGTGTGGTGGATCTAATTATATAGCAGACCAAAGTCAGATAAACATTATTTTCTATTCTATTCAAATGTGAGCATTTTGTAGGGTAGCATACTGAGGCAGTGCTCAGTTTATTTCTGATACTCACATTGGGAATAAAGCCTGGAGGAAGCTGTTTGCTGAGCACAGCGTCCCAGTTGACATCTGACATGTAGTCCAGATCCTGCAGCTCTGCTAGACAGGAAATGCGCTTCTGGACATCTATGCACAGCAACTGAAGGAGACAAAAGGATTAGAGTAAGAATTATTGTCCACAGGGAGGCATGGCTGAAAAGTTACAGGCCGGGTCCCACGGAGACACGAGCACATGTTTGCCCTAAAGGATGTGTCTGAGAATGAGGATATGGGGACAAAAGGGGTGAGGGTGGAAGGTATTAAGGAGAGGACAGGAGAGTATGAAGGAAGAGGGAGATAATGAGTGACAGGAAAACAAAAATGAGATACATTTAGGAAGCAAATGGCGATGAGGAGAATTCAATAAGAATTCAAGATATTGTGAAGTGTGTAGGATGGACAAATATATTGAGTGTGGATTTCTCCCCTTACATTCTCACTTTCTTTATACCTCCCTCTCTCTCTCTTTCTCTCTTACCCCCAACACACACACACACACACACACACACTCTTGCACTCCCACATACACACACATTTATGCAGCTGGAATGCCAATGAGGTACGAGGAGTCTGAGCACGAAGCAATGCAACAGTTTGACTGCAGTGGATCGCTGCCAAGACAAAACCCAAATGCTACAGCAACAGTGTATCTGTTAGCTTTGCAAGTGGCCTAATTGCGACAAGAAGAATAGATGTTTGACAGTTAATTATAGATCCACTCTTAAGATTTCAGAATATGCTAATTAGATTAAATGAAAAAAAAGTACATATAAATTATTCTCATTAAGCAGTGATATGAATAGTCTTTCAGAGCCAAGGTGTGTGCTGCTCTGTGTGTCTTTGTGAGGTTGTGTTGACTTTGTACCTTGATTTATTTACCTATGTACTGTGTAATTTTAACACTGAGTCACAAATTCCTCTTTTTGAATACTAATTGTACTTAAAGCCGCACTGCTGGCTGAAACATTTCCATGTACAAATAAACAGCTAGTATACAAAGTAGGGCTGCAACAATGCAAAAAAGCCCCTAATTAAGATTCTAGATGCAACTTGTTTGCCCAAATGAAGTGCTGGTGTCAGGTATGGATAATTGTCTTCCCACAGGAAATAAAAAATTCAACCCTAAGAGAAAAATCTAAAGTATCTCCTACAAAGTAGCAGAGGAGCCACCCTCTCTTGTCAGTTAAGTGTTTATGATGAGATCCCACTAGTCAAATAAGCCAATGTGTGCATTACAGTTTACTCAAGTCATTTTTCATTGGTGATCAATTTGGCCACCAGAAATCACAGATGTGAGAAGCTGACAAGTGCAGGCTTAAATAAATGACCACAGTACGTTCTGGAGGTGTGGTGGACCTAATTCAAAGAAATATCTGTTGTACAATGTGACACTCACCCACCCACATTTGAGAGGGGCTTGGCATACACTTAAAAATTCACAGGGGATAGTTACTTCAGATCCTGAGCAATGCGAAATGCCACTATAGGATGGAATGCACGTATTGTGCACTGAAGATGAATATACTGTAAGAAACAGTCTGCATCTGCTGTTGTGAGTTTACACGGGGGAAAACATTAATTAATTTGTAACTCTTTTTAAGGATAAAGAGAAGCAACATGAGGCAATATTTTACGGTATTAATCAAACACACGGTTTTCTGAATGTGACATATCCTTAAAAAAATGACAGATCCGTCCAAGAAGGACAGTGTTAAAGTTACATCCTCAGGCGTTGATTGGTGTAGTGTTACTTCCTACGCATCAAGCTGTACACAAATACAACACATATATGGCAAAAACCACTCAGTGTCTGATTGTTTGCATCTTCTAATGACTTTTTAAAGATATTTCTCATAATATTCCCCCATTACCTGTTGGTTTGTATTGTAATTGAGCGTAAGTGAGGGGTTAGTATCATGTAAAAAGGTGAGATAAATCCTACAATATACTGTGCATTATGCATGTGCAACTCATTTACCTTTCTGAGAAGAGACTTCATCTCCAAAGACCAGGCTGCTGGGTAGCTGGGGTGGACCTTGTGGAAGGTCTGAAGGATCTCATTAGCTGGTGTACTGGATCTCATCACATATGGTCTCTAGAAAAGAGGAGAGGAGCAGAGAAGAGACAATATGTTACAGACAACTTGTATTCATAGTCATGCCCTGCCTGGAGGAGTTTTCTTTGATAAAGTGTGTCTTTAAGTTTGCTCTGCAGTTGGCCCTCTCCACTCTCTCTTCCTCCTCTCCTTGTGCTCACCTTCTGTGAGTATAAGGGACTATTCTCAAAACACAGCTTAAACTCTCTGCCATGCAGTGTGAGAGGGCTTTCTATGGGTCAGAAAACAAGGGAAAGCCTGTTGAGATTTCTTCAAATCAGTGCTCCTCCACCCTCTGGTCTTAGTCTGGTACAAAGAGACTCCATGCACTTGAGTTAGAGAATTACACAGTGACAAGACACAGCTAGATCAGGCTGGTTGGAGGTGGAAAATCTTTCCTCTCAGATTGTTTACAGAAGAGCAAATCCATATTCTCTTTATGACAAGCTTTTAATGCAATTTCTGCTTTATTAGATGGTTCAGAGTGAAGAGAAAGAGGAAAGATGAAAGAGAAATGTAAACGACGTGCAATCCAGGTGGATGCCTTGCCATTCTTCATTTTTATTAAAGGCTCTTTTAGATGCATGATGTCAATTATATTCCAATTCTGCAGATGTTCCCCAGACAGGGCACACATAAGGTGTCGGCTAACCACTAATATATTTTGGAGTCAGATGTTCAGGAGGCAGAAATTGGCTCATGTATCACATGAGGTCTTTGTGTTGCCTGTCTGGGGTTGTCCAATTTAGAAAGAAAACAGAGGCTGGAGGCGTAGAAACTAAGTGACAGTGATGGAGAGATGCTTAGCTGCCTGGATCTGTACCTGCAACCAGTGGTCAGGCCCAGCAGCGAAAGCATTGGTTGGCGAGAGAGGAGTTAGATGGTCTGAGCGAAGCATGAATGAAGTAAGACGGCGTTGGAGCTTAAGAGAGAGATAAGATGAGGTAAAGGCTGAGAAGGGATCAAAAGGTGCCTGGAGCTGGATAATAGTGAGCTAGCTCTCCATTTTCAACAGCCAAATAATTCTGCATCCAACAGGCCAGTTTTTAACACCCTGAGACTGATTTATGCTTTATAGACGGTGTTGAAATGTGGCAGTTAGAGACAGGTGTAGAAGAAAGTCCCGAGGAGACAGAGGGATGAAGTGAAAATGAATTGCCTGGGAGAAGGTGAGGGTGGGTGGTGTGTAGAGAGAGGGGTGAAAGAAAGTTTAAGAGAGGGTTTATGACGCATATTATACAGAAACTACAAAAAGTGCAGTATGGGGAAAGAGAGAGAGTGGGGCTAACATCTATGTCACTGAGTAATTTCTGGGTTTGAAAGTGTGTAAGTGTGTGCTCAGCAATCCTCCCCTGAATGAGTGAAGGTCAAAAGTGCTTGAAAATCACAGGACACAGCTTTGAGGTAAGAGAGACAACTTAAGCTATTTTTGTGCAGATAAGATGTAGCTTTGGTCAGGTCAGAAAGAGGACAAAACATATTTTAGAAGGGTTAAATGAAGGTTTGGAAGTAAAATAAAGCTGGGTGGAGGACTACACTTACTAGGACTAATCGAAAGTGTAATGGAAAGAGTCAGGCAAAATAACTGTGAACAGTTTTATGGAGAAGGGTGAGAGGGAGAGCATTCAAATGTCTAAAAATAAGATTTGATTTCAGGATCACTTCATGACAGCTCCAGATCAGTTTCAGGTGTTCTGGCTCCTTGTCAGTGTAGACAGAGGTTACTGTAGTGCTTGTAATCACCATCCTGAAATATGAGAGGAAATTCTGCAGCCGCAGTCTGGATTAAGTCCACAATGCGCAGACTACTGTCAGCTCTGACACTCGGCCTGATACAGCGAGGAGACAGAGTGAAAACATTATGTCCTGTGTTTATTTCCATGACATCAGAATTAAACTTCTCCAGATGGGACCAGCACAAAATTGAATAAATTATATCTTAAAAATCAATTCCAATTATGTGGCCCTGAAAATAACTCAATTCTGTTTTCTCATTCTGCTGCAGCAATTCGTCTCACACCGTGACTAAACATATAAACATCTTCCCCCAGTAAGGTCAGCTTAAATGTAAAATTCAATTATAGCTTCACCCCCCTTTTGTTTTGTGAAGGCTGAGGAATCGCTTTATGTCTGCCCTTCCTACTGACAGGACTTTTCTAGCACACTCCTGTAGATGTCATATGTATTATTTACTGCAGTAAAGTGTGCCAGGCCAACGCTCACTTGAGATGTGGACATGGTGATGGTGCTCTGTGTGTGTGTGTGTGTGTGTGTCTCAGTTACCTGTCCTCTTAGTAGCTCATATGCTGTGATGCCCAGTGACCACCAGTCAACAGAGAAGGAGTAGCCAGGGTGGGACCCCTCAAAGGTTTGAAAAAGCTCAGGAGCTGATAGACAGAGAAATATTGTACATCAAAAGGTAATAAAGTATGGCGTATGTGTCTTTTCTTTGTTTGTGTGTTTGTGTATTTTGATCCCCGTTTCTTGTTTTGGGGGTCATTTTGGTCAGGGTCAGTTTATTTCAACTACAGCCTCTTTCACACACGGAATACATAGCTTGCTTCATCTATCTGTTAGCCTAAGACATGACTAATCAAGACATAGGCCCTTTGTTATGTAAATGTTCTATAATGGCTCTATTCAGACACACAGAAGCCCTTGAAAGGGCGCTGAATTGTGATAGATTTTTTAAACTTATTTTGCTGTTGAAGCCTTAATTAATGACCATCATCAATGCAAGGGACACTTGCTCCCTCTTACCCTCGTGAATTTTCTCATCAATTTTTATCACTTATTAGAATTCTGCTGCTTATCTTCCATGAAATTAGCATGGGTGAAAACTGAAATAATAGCTGGGGGGAGTGTTGGAAGTGTTACAAAAATATTCCCCAAGCAGAGCGCCGTTGTGACTTTTGTGTTAAAGGTGACCTGGATACTTTTTCAGACATTAGGCCGACAGGAAATATATCATCACATTTATGCAGCGAGTGTCATACACTACATACATACATACATGTACAATACATGTATGATTTGTTGTAACTTCTGGACTGTGAGAAACTGACAGCAGGCTTTACAGGTTGAGGTAAATAGAGTAAATCGTGTGTGCTCATTGAGGATGCGACTACTCGCCCTGAAGCCCAAACAGATACATAATCTAATCTGCATTCCGGCCCTCAGCAGCAGCGGGCCTTGGCAAGGAGTTGTTCCTTGCTGCGAACCAACTTCCTCCAGGAGATCGCTGCATGATGACGCTCTGCCCCCCCCATCCCCCTCCCCTTCCTTCCCTCACGGGACACCTGGCGCACTTGTTACTGTTGTTGTAGGAGCCGGACTCAGGGACATCTCCCATGGCAGACCTGCTGTGTTATCGCGATGAACACGTTGAAATGAGACTGATTGTGGGGGGGTCTAGACGAAGTTGGGCTCTCCAGCTTATGTTGCACACAGCGCAACCACGGTCACTTATACATGCGAATATGCAACACACCCTTGTATTCCCCCCCCCCTTCCACGCCTTCGCGCTTTTACCCAATAGACGACAAGTGGGTCTTGCGCAGGCTGCGCCAGTTGCTGGCGCCTGCGGCTGTGTCTGTGCTGGTGCGCCTCCATTCCCTTTCCCCCCTCCCCTGTTGCAAGGTTGTTGGAGGTTCTTATGTTGTAAAGTGTGATTACATGTGCTTTAGTGTTGGCTGAGGTTTTTTCCCAGTCCCACACGGTACTCCCCTAATTTGAGGCAGATTTGGGGGAGCGGCGTTTTTTCCCCTTCCCCTCCTATTGTTTTTCTTTTCTTGTACCCACCTTTCAAGTAAATTTCCCACGGGGATTATTTAAAGTTATTCTCTGATTTCTGATTTCTGATTGAGCTCAGTTTTCACATTTGAATGTGACTTTTTGTTGTTGTTCTGGGATGAAAAACATAAATTGCATTATTCTTGCCAGAGGCATATATTCATTTTCATTGGTATCTTATTTTGAACCAATATAGCATCATAATGTCTTTGTAAACAGGTTTTCTGTGTGGGATGAGCTATGAAAACAAATTGTTTTTTAAATAATCTAATCTCCATCACCCATCATTTACCCTTCCCTCTCTGATTTGTTATCTAACGGTGTCAAAATCAGGACTGTGAGAAACATACTGTATAGTCAGGAACATACACACACATGCACACCATACTCCTGTTCATCACGGCAGGTTTGTTCTGCTCTCTCGCTGAGGAGGGGAAAGTTAATTTATCTACTGAAGCCTCCGAAAGAGAGGTTGTTTTCTTGTTTCCAGAGTAGGCATGAATTATCTATTACCCCACAGAGAATTTGCCTGAAATCTGTCACACAATATTACCAGATCATTGTCCATCAGGGGCACATACTTTATAAGGATGAAAAAAAAATACCGGCACACGCACCCACACACAAACATGCTGTCTTGTCATTCATACCCCCCGGAAATCCTGCTAGCTACTATCTGATCTCCCAGGGGCATCGACACACATACACATCGACCTGATCGCGAGTGTACTTAAGAGTAATGAGGAGGATGACTGCAGTGATGCTGAAAAGGATAAATGTTTGTTTCCGAAGGCAGCATTACTTTACAATGTTAACACTACTCTCAGGATGCATCAAAATCTAACTAGATAAGTTTCAAGAATATACTACATATATATTGTATTTGAACACAAGAAACACACAAATTGATAAACAAAATTGCTCAGTAACGGCTCACTTACTGTATTTTTACCTGTATATTTTTCTTGGCTATGAGGCAGCTAATATTGACAAGAGGCAAACTCTGTGGGTTTAGCGGCTTTAGTGATAAAATATTTTATGCTCAGATGTGGAAGATGCGTCCTTCAGTGAATGCTGGGCTCACCAATGTTAACATCCCCTCAGTGTCCTTGGGATTTTGGATTAGCAAACATAAGAATGCTCTGTGGAGTTTATATAAATTATGTTGCATGATTTCTGTAAAACCGTCTCCCCTGGCTTCTGTTTGTTGTCATCGTTGTTAAAACTTTCCTTGTGTATTTTCTTACCCATGTATGGCTTGGTCCCAGCGATGGAGGTTGCTTTTAGGTCTTCTTTTACAATTGCTGCAATGTTGAAGTCTGTAAGATGGACGTGCCCTGTAGAACAAAGAGATTTGTATTAACTCACAGTGACACAAAGCAGGTTTTAATACACATTTACAGTATATTACGTGTGTGAAGCCCTATAAATCCTAAATTGGCACAGAGCTGTAGGATCACAGAGCTCTGTTTACACCATCAGTATTTACAGTAACTGTGTTTTTACTTAGAAGTTTAATATTTTTCCTTTGGAATTAAATGTAATACACATGCAGGTATCCTACTTTGTATGCTGCTTATGTAATATGCAAAAGAGGAGGATCAAACGAATTTTAAAACACAACATAATCAATTGAAATAACGCCTTTTCCTTTACGCATTCTCATGATCGTAATGCTCTTACACTGATGTTATTAAAAAGGCATCAAATGCAAATTAACTGAGGCTTTATTGATGGAATAAAACGAATGTGATGATATTGTGACTTGGCTGAAAGAGAGTCCATGGTGTTTTAGTGGCAACCTTAGTGATTTCCAAAGTCAAACCACTGACCTGTGTCTCACCATGCTGCAAGATGGCCCATAGTCTTTGCCATGCACACTGAGCACACACTAATGAGCTGAATGTGTGTGTGTGTGTGTGTGTGTGTGTGTGTGTGTGTGTGTGCGTGCCATACTGTGAGAGAGAAACACAGAGCAAGAGTTTTTGCCGCAGAGTGATTGTTCGGATGAATGGATGTCTCTGGTAACCCCAGCAAACACATACAAAAAGACAACACATAAGCTGCACAGCCATACTATACACCATTTTCATTTTTTTTTAAAAAGCAGAATATTTTATCACCAACAGATAACTGTGTTTGAATATAAAGCAGGCAGGAGCTGGCCAGTTTAAATGTTTACAAAAAGATACAGAGCTTTAAAGATAAGAGAACTGTACATTTTCTCCCTCTCTTTTCGCCACACTGCATTTTACACATTTTCTTTTATTCCACCCCTCGTCTCTTCTGCCCTTTGCCTCCCATATCTTTCTCTCATCCTCTTCCTATTTTTCAGGTTTTAATTTTCTCTTTTCCTCCATAAACCCCATCTCTTTTTTGCTTCTTTACCCCTCTGTGCAATTTACAGTTTGAAATATGCCCACATACTGTATTCAAAGCTGTGGTACATGAGAGTATAGTGATTCACAGAGGGGAGATTGGGTGGTGGTGGTGGTGAATGGACCATTGTTAATGTAGTCTGATGACAAAGGTGCATCAGGACTGAAACTTCACTGTAGACTTTAAGTGGAGCTTGAGTAAGAGCAGAGATTCTTTCTTGTTTTCATATTTAATGATGTCTCTGTCTCTGTCATATTCTTATCTCCCCTTTTTGTCTATTCTGTCTCTCTTAGCTTTACAGAAGACAGATTGAGGACAAGAGTTTTACACAGTAGCCAGCAGGAAAAAACAGACAGACATCATCAAAATGTTTGTCATATTGAGATCAGTTTGAAACAGCTCCAAGGATGGCAGTGATGATCCCTCGCTCGGTCAGTTTAAACATATTTTTTCAATACTGACTAATGGAGTTGACAAGTGTAATGTGGAGCCTGGTTCCTTCAGTGATATGACAGTGATGTTGGGGACACAAACATGGCATAGTCAAAGAGAGATGGCATTAGTAAGAGAGACATTAAGAGATTAACCATGACACAGTTTAAAAATCTGTATTATGGAAAATGTACAGTACAGCTTTTTGATAACATAACTTTGTCACCACAGTGGTGTCCATGGATTACTTGGTTCACTGAATGGATGTTCTAAAGCAGTGGTTCCTCACTGGTGGGGTCCGTTGTGAGTGAATAAAAAGTGGATAACGCTTTTTATTTTAAAGTATCATTACCATTACTGTTGTAGAGTGAGGGGCAGGAGTCTACTTGTTGCAGAGACAGAAAGGAATATATAGGCCTTTGACTGAATATATTAAGATTACTTACATAACAATCCAGCCTAGCTTGAAATAATTTTTCTTCTCTTTTTACATTTTCAAGAAAGTCATTCTTTTTAGCCTTAATACATCAATCTATTATAAATTAATACGTCATCTATTGCATCTCTTAATTAACTAACTGCTTTTGCAATGCTTTCAATGTTATTGTTTTTTTAAGCCTTAATTACAGTTCCTGTTGCATGTTTTTCCTTTGAAGCTACTAATGCACTTTTTGTGAGATGGCCACTTCACTCAGTCTGATCAAGCGTGTGTACTAAATGAAGCGAATACACATCAAATTTCTTGAGCTCTGATCTTTTAAAATAATACATAAAGTTCAGAGCTGTATTATTCCTCTAAAAGGTATGGTCAGTATGTGAGATTAACCCCTGTTTGTCTCCAGTCAAACTGTTCCCTGCCTGCGAGCTTTGCAGTGTGTGGCAGCTGAACAATGGTTCAGCAGGTTTCCTGGTGGCTTAGTTATCTAACGTGTCTTACTGGGATTACCTCCACAACTGTCGAGGTTTGATCCTGGGGTTATGTCACGCGGCTGCATATCTATTTTTAATTTCTCTTTGCTTTCTGCTACCTCAAAACACCCCCAGCACTGATGACAACCACCAGGGGCGGTGTCTGGGGGCAAGCTCCCCCAGGACGATTTTTTTCCCCCATTTACAGCAGCTATTCGGGGCTGGAGCCCATGAATGAATAACATACTCATAATTCATTTAACAAAGCAGGTGTGATGAAGCCACAGCAGACATTTAGCCCTCTTGAAACTCTTACGTTATATCTCTACGCATAGCCTTTTACCAAGTCAGACTCTATACCATGGTATCAGTACACTGTTGCAGCCCAGGGTTTACTCACTTATTCGTTGGAGATGGACAATATTTACCTTTCAATGACATAAGTACTTAATAGGCATGTCACAATACCAGGAATTTAGTAGTCGATCCCAATACCAGTGAAATTCTCAATACGAATTTGATACCACAGTAAAAAACAAAAGCAAAATAATAAATTCCAAGTACTTCAACATACACTACACAAAACATTTGAACATTACAAAAAACAACAACTGTGGCCCCTTTTCTAATAGATGTTTTCTTATTTACTTCTTTTCACTACATAATTCATACACACCTAGTCGCCCAAAATACACAACTCATGTTTCATATTTTTTCACCCGCTCTTCTGTTTTAATAACAGCAGGTGCTGTTCATGTGGACGAGGCTCGTTGTTAATGATGTAGCCTATTAAAACGATTGATAACACCAGCTGATGTGTTGAAGCCGTCACATTTTCAAAATGTCAGCATCAACTTGGTACCGATGTATCAGTTCTCGTGACATCCTTAGTGTTTGTACACTATTGTGGAATTTGATTTAGATATCTTAATGAACAAGCGGCACTCCAGCTCCTAAATCTTCATTTTAATTCTCAGTTTTGCCAAATGAAGCCATCAATTAGGTTAATGAATGCATTACTTACTTCTTTGGACACATACTGGTCTTATATCTGTTGAATTCATATAATTTCTACACCTAAGCAGTTAAAGTAGCCAAGATCACACCGGTTTTTCTCATTAAGCTAAAAGGGATTGTTGCAAATGTGTGCACAAAATATGCACTAAAATCTAATCAGATCTGTTTCTGTCGTATAACTTTTCTGAAGGTATGATGCTATTGGTATTTCACATCAGAAAAGACCATACACTGTACTTTTCTAAAGAGTCCCATGGGTGTTTATGTGGTTGTTTTTGTAGCATGTGTGCGTGCTCACACTGGACAACCTAGACAACGGCCCTCTTGGAGCTTCTCTCAGCATCCTGAGGCTATGCCATTTAACAAAGTGACACAGCACGTGCATGAGTAAATTGTTTTTCCCCATTTGAAGCAGCTCCCAGAGGAACACGGCAGAAACGGGTCAATTCCAGCTCGCAAAATTGACATGGTGTGCAGAAGCAAAACACCCTACTACCCCCTTGTCTGATACGTCATGTTGTTTTAGACTTTAGTGGAGAGGTAAACTACAGATCTGCACAGACAAACAGAGTGGGGGTAGAGTGCATGAGGAGGAGGGAAGTGCTTATTGAGCTCGAAAGGACACGCACACATACAGAGAGAGAGAGAAAGCACAGGTGAAAGTCTGTTGTCCTGTTGGAAAGCCAGCTGAGGCTGACAATGCTGCCATTCTCTTTCTCCTCCCTTTTTTAGCTCTCTTCTTCACATATCTCTTTGTCTACCCTGTTTTTCTTCCTTTGACAAATCTTTCTTTTCAGAAATGTTTGCTCATCACTTTCACCCTTCTTGTCTTGTCCTTGTGGCTCTCTCTCTGTCTGTCTTTGTCTGCTCTAAGTCTGTAGCAACAGCAGGGCTGCCATCCCACATATCTGGTCAGATCCCTTTAGCAGCTGTCCAGTGCCCTCTGAGATCTAAGGACTTGTGTCTGTCTGTGTGTGTGTCTGCGTATGTGTACACTATATGGCCAAAAATATATGGACACACTTGGTCTCAGGCTGTTTTCATGGTTAGGGCTTGACTGCGTGGTTCCAGTGTAGGGAAATCTTAATGCTACAGTATAGTTAGTTCATTAATAGTATTTTCAGCAAAGTGTGAGAGTCTTTTCTGTGCCTGATAAATATAGTATTCCAATGATTTTCGTTGTGCTCAAATTTTACTCAAATCTCCTGGTGTTGATGACAAATAGTAATCTTCATTCTATAAACCAGTGCCACGAGAGCACAGCTGTTGTTCAGGTAATGTGCAACATCATCCTTGTTCAGTGCTAGTTCATAATAATACTGTACTGTTATTATCTGCCACCTCCATTACTTGAACCATTTTGTTGTTCATGACATTCTTAGGTTTAGTAAATTTGAGTACATAACCCAACAGATTATCATGCATATCAAGCAGATGCTTCATCAGACATAAGAACATGACCCATTTTGTGTTTAGTGTGTGTAGTAATGGGAATAGTTCAGCATTTGCGAAAATACGGTTATTAAATTTCTCGCAGAGAGTTAGATGAGATGATAAACACCACTCTGATGTCTGTACTATAATATGAAGCTACAGCAGCTTGTTAGCTTAGCTTATCACAAAGACTGAAAACAGGGAAATGGATAGTCTGGCTCTGTCCAAAGGTAACAAAATCCTCCTACTGGCACCTCTCAATCTCACAAATTAACAAAACGGAAGTGTAAGAAGGACACATTGTTGTTTTATGAGGGGCCACGTGCTTGACTATTTCTTGGCCGGACGCAGTGACTTCCTGGACTCTTGTCGTCACTGTGAGGTTGCCAGGCAACTCCTATAGAGTTTCAACATACTATTTCTTGTTGAACATGACATTATAGTCGTGTATAAAGCCACGTCCAAAAAGAAATTGTTTTTCCAGTTTAATGTGGAAGAATTTGACTAGCCTGCAGAGAGTCCTGACCTCCACCTCATCCAACACATGAGAGATGAACCGGAACGCCGAATGTGAGCCAAGCCTTATCACCTGGCCGACTTCACTAATGCTCTTGCGCTTGAATGGGAGCAAATCCCTTCAGCATATTAATGCCAATGGTTTTGTCATGAAGGTGTAAGGTTTGTAATGTTATAATACTTGTAGTACTTGGCCTTGTAGTGTACCTGTGCACACTGTACTATCATATCTATCTTAGGCAGTCTGTATTTCTCCAGGATGGATCATACTATAAAGTACTTTAATTTACCTCTTGATTAACATATTGATGAAGATATTTAGAGTCTCTCTCAACATGACCTTGATTTACAATCGTTCCCTCTTTCTGACATTAACGCACACACGCTGCTCTCCCTGTCTCTTTCCTTACTGTATATGCGTGCATGTGTGTACGTGTATTTGCGTTAAACTGAAACTGACACTTAAGCCTATGATGAGACCTAATCAATCATTCAGCACAGGATTTTTTCCTCAGAGAAGGAAGGCATTATGAAAATCACCCTGTCCCCCACACTCCTTTCACATCCCTCCATCTTATTCCTCATAGTTCAGAGAAAAAACAACATCACAGTGCTTTTCAGTGTGGACATAAAAGAAGTGCACTCCTTCTCTGTGTTGCACTTGGTAAAATAAGGTATGAGGTATTTTCCTTCTTTATGCTGCAAGGCCTATCTAGGCAACAACTGTGAGACCTGCCTCTGAGCAACTTCTTTTGATCTGTACAGGAGTTATCCCAGAGGTTGGAGGTTTGTTGAAATTGCTTAGTCAGAAGCAGTTAAGTCTTGAATTTGGCCCAATAAGTCAAGTCAGGTCACCATGTAAGTCAAGTCAAATGTTATTTCCATATGTAAGCAGTTACAAAACCTAATCAAATCTTGTTGTACAGTTTGACTTTCAATTCCAACCATTCACATCCGTATGAATGAATGAAATATGACTATAGGAATCTTACCATGTTCATCCAGTAGTATGTTGTCCGGTTTGATGTCTCTGGAGTAGAAAACACAAACAGTACAGTGGGATTAGTATGTGTTTACATATGTAAAATCAGGATCAAAAATGTATTTGCATGTCATTTTTGTGCTAATATTTAAAATTCAAATTCACACTATTGTTTGGAGAACGAGCAGTGGGATTTGCAAGATCTGGCTTTACAGAGAATATTTAGAATCTTAAGACAACAACAGTTAAATACAATATGTAAATTCTGAATACCAAAAGGCCAGTTTAGTATAATTTCTTATTACCTTATGATATGTATCAAGAAGATTAACTTTTTTCCCAATTCCAGGGTGCCTTATTTATGTAGCATTATTTATTCATTTAACTATTCTTAACAACACTATTAAAATTAAGAGATGAGAAAGTATCATGAATTGACAACTGTTTATTTATTGGTAGGCAACACATGCAACACATTCACTAGACACATCTTAAACCATAGCAGCCTACGCTTAGTTACTGGGAGCAGCTTGGAGCTGATCGGCCTTCACTCTGCTCTTTTTAGTTCACTGCAACTCTAAATCACTGCTTTTATATTTTTTACTCAAAAGGCACAGTTTGATCGATCATTTTCTCATGACTCAAAACAAATTTTAGCGACTACCAACCAAGGCTAAATTACGATGTTGTGTCTATGCGTGTGAAATAATAAGATTGGTTATTTGCTGAACTAACCAGCTTACAAATTGCAGCCCCCGTAGTTAAAGTAAGATGTAGGAGATGCTGACTTCACCACAGATGATATAACTTTCAATTATTGTGACCCCATTCATCCAGTCAGAGGAATAATGTAACACACCACCAAAACGTATCAAAATCAGACCAGTTGTGTCAGACTAAGATGACACCTCTGGTCTGTTAAGATTAGTCACTCCAGTCTCATTTCATCATTACACATTTAGTCCCATGAGATACATTGTTAAAAATGTGCTTTAAAGGAGTACAAGATGCTCGATAGTTCTACTAAATTTAATATCTTTAAATAATAAGCATGCGTGGCTTTCATGTTTCTAGACCGCACTTCCCACAGTTTACCTGTAAATAAAACAGTGTGGGTGGTACTGCTGATGACGTTTGAGTTTCTGTAGGTGGCACTCTCTTCTTTGTCTGCCCTGCCAGGGAGGTTACATTGCTCATATTAATTACCCAGTTCTTCCTCTGCTTATTCTAAACAAACCGCTTTTTCTACTACTGAAGTTGAAACGAGCCACTCCCTGTGTGTCAGAGTAATACCCAAAACTGTGTGCATAGATCATCAGATGTAAAAGCTTCCACGAGGTGAATTAGGCTCTCTTGTTGTGTTGAATCATTTTGCTTCAGTGAATGACGAAAATGGACATGTAATACCCCAGATCAAAACTTTCAAATGACATTCTATGGCACCAGGCATGTGACAAAAACAAATGAATATCTAATACTTTTGAGGGGGGGAAGAGACAGCAGGTTAAGCTGTGGGAGTAGCTGAGACACCTGAGAAGGGGAACAGGTGTAGACTAAGGCTCTTGCTAAAGGCTTCTGCTTGTTTCTCACCATCCTTTGTGGTTTAGATTTTTATTCTCCCCATTTTCAAGCAGATGTTTGTTTTTCATTGAGGCACATAAATAAAAATGGCATCCAGAAGCAACACAGTTTTTCCAAATTGTTCAGGAAGCCAAATCTGTTCTTGGAAGCAGAAAAGTACTTGTAGACTAGAAGATGTATTGGATCCGGTGCAAAGACTTAAGAGGTTCAAACTACTGTCCAGAGATTTAGATAATATATAGTACACAGACAAAGGTATGGCTATACCTTACTGGGTACAATAAACATAGCCTATATTTTCCTGTTAATGCAATTTTTATACTTTGATAGAATTTGTCTTTAATTGGCTTGCTTTACAAATAAAATTGTTTCTTTACAGACATATGGCAAATCAACATCTTTGGAAGTAGTTTCAGCCAGGAAAATGTGCCATTAGTCAGCCCAGAATGCATTTTGGTGCACTTTATTTCTGTATTTTTGCATTTACCATTTTATATACAGCAACTGTCTTTCTGATTACACACATTTGCTCATGCTGTAGATGCTCAACACCCTTTCCTATCGTGAAAGTAAATACTCTGCAATATACCGGAACCATAAAAAGGTGAATTAATAGAGGGGAGAATACATTTTAAAAGATTTCAGAGCAACACAGACTGGATTCCCAAATTCTGACACAGTGACATAAAAGCATCAGTAACAATACCAATGTCCCTGGTGACAATCAGCCACTTCAAAGAAAAGTTCAGTGGCCAATGACATCCCTACTGGCAATAATTTAAATTCAAAGCAACTTTAATCTCTTCTTTCTTCTCATTTTCACTGATCTTTATCTGTCCTTGACACTGTCAACTTTCTCTTTCTTTCATAACCATAACATTGTCTGTGCTACTCAGGCTAGTCCTAATAACAAATGAATTATATCTACATATATATATTTAGTCCCCACCACTGCCCACTCACACACAGAAACATAGACTCACATACACAGGCATGCATGTACATCCACACGCACTTCAAGTGTTAAATGACGGTATTAGTTTCTTATAATTACCATCCTCTCGTAAGACATATATGTTTTTTTTTCATCTTAACAGTCCATTTCTTTTTGCATGTGTGTAGCGTCAGACTAAAAGAGTGGAAGGGTACAGTGTGTTCTCAGCTTCTCTCTGTTCTTTCGTCTCTGGAACATATCCCCACAGCTCTAAAAATGCTTTGAACTGAAGAGACGATATTCAATATTCAGCGCCCTTCTCAAATGTTTCGTTTGTGCTTGACGATCAAATGCAGCATTCATTTGGAGTGTTACCACACCCTGAAATTGCCATCGCCATTACAGTAAGACATTTGAGAAGTACCTATTGTTTGAACATTAGCAGGAAAGCTAGGTCAAGACGCTATTCCTAAGCATTGTCAAGTGTGTGTTTTTAATGTGACTTAATTTGTAATCAGGCTAGCACTAGCGGGGGGTTTCAGTAAGCGACTCCCATGACATCGAAAACATTTGACCAAGTGGAGGAGGGAGGGGTTGTTGCTTTAAATTATCTTCTGTTATTGGTTTGTGGGAATAAAATAATACATTATGCAGATTTTAAGGATACAAAATTGGCATTAGTAGCAGCAATAGCAAAAAAAAAAGAACATTGGGACATTCAATAGAGCATTAATGTATTTTGTTAAATCACAACAGTATGGAGACTGTAGCACTGTAACACACACACATCAACTTTGTGGCAGTCTCCGCTGACAGCCAACTCACTGTGCATCCTCAGTGTTAGACAGCGAGTGTCTCCTCTAATTGAGTCTACTGCCCTGTAGGAACCCAGCAGTATTTAGCATATCAAAGGCCACGCTGACCTGTATTTTGTATGAGCCTGTGTGCGCACTCTTGGAGATGAGGACAACCTGTAGCATGGAGCTCGGCTCTTGGGTGCTTTGGCGGATTGAATAGCGCAGGGGCCCAGGTGGGGGTGAGAAAGGTCGACCATGTAACCCTTAATTAGCTGACATTTGCCTCAAAGCCTGGCACTAGGGGAGAAAGGAGGGGCATGTGTCGTCGCAAAAAAAGCAGGCTGTAATTCAGAGCAAGGAAGCCTCTTTTATAGCTAAAGGCCATGCTGCCATTGTGATGCCACGGGACAAGGGGGGGGGGGGGGGGTTGAGATAAAGCAAAGCAGAAAGCCTCATTAGGAGGTGGCGTGTGGTGACAGCCAAGCTGTTGAGGTAGAGGTGATGATGATGACCATGACTGACTTGTCCCTCTGACAGTGGACATTAAAGAGCAACTTAACACCTGTTTTTGCTCCCTTCACATTTTAAAAAACTGCCGTGGTCTGGAGACATACTGGTTTGACACAATAGCATGTACATTTGACTAAAACTTGTAGTTTGTTCAACGCTGCTGTTGCAATTAAGGCTTAAGTTTGGCACCAGAAAGATAATGGAGTGACCATACGTATACAGTAATGATAACTCAAAAAAGTGGATTTAGTGTTAAAAATTCTGGTTTATTTCAACCTGAAATATTTCCCGTAAATGTGGATATTGAGGCTGTATGGCTTGTGGTAACTTAGCTCTCGCCAGCCTACATTGTAGAGATTCAATGAGTTGCTTTAAACAATAAGGGCAAGCTGCGCAAGCTGTCTATTCTAAGCAAATATGTTTTTTTTTTACGTGAATCATTTCCCTTGTCTCTGAGTCTTACTAAAAGAACATGGCATCTTGGAGTATTGCTTCAGTCAACTTGCAGAACAATTAGCCACAACTGGAGTCTCTGTCACTCAGTGGTAGCTTGATGCTAATAGCTTAAATAAATATAAGCATTATGTTACAAGATGAAAAATAATTAGATTTATTTAAAACAAAACAGAGCAAATAGACTCAGACACACTTATGGGCTCAGCACTAAAATTGTGAGTATTTTATAAACCTCAGAGCCTTATGAAGCCTATTCCAACAGTCACAATCGATACTCCCAGTTTCTCAGTTGCATTCAGTTTAATGATCCATGGATTAAATTCTATTTTCCTTTCATAGAAGCTGACATGAAATAATTACTCAGCAATTACCAACTAGTCTTTCTATCAAAAATAAAGCCATGATGAAAACTGGACCAGACGGCTCTGTCATGAGATTTCTAGGGATAGAGCACTGTTAATATTCACAGGTTATTTAATTTTCCTTGACTCAGCTAGAGACTTTAGTGTTTGCCATTAGTTCAAGGCAGCTACGAGAGGGCAATGATTTTGGCTATAGTCGTCTCAGTGAGGAATACCATTGATGCATTTTTCCATTCATATAGTTTCATTTTTTTGCATTCAGTGTGTACTGGATGTAATGATGTGTATGTTTTTCAGCACAGTATTACTGATTTGAAAGAAGTTTTTTGCCTCACTGTCAATTTTCTATAGTAAAAGAGAAGACTTGAGAGGGCACTTTGCGTTGTCACCTGCATATTTATCCTACGT